AATGATTACTTTGGCTGGTACAGGCAACTGAAATGAGTGTATCTTGTAGTCTCTGCTCTCTTGCCTTACACTTAAAATTCTTGTAATGTAAAAGTTACTGATCCAGCTTTCCGAACACTAGAGTTGCCTTGCTCTTCCAGAACATTTGCTGTGAAGACAAAAGTGTTGTCAGAAGGTAGTGTGTGATCTGGTAGCTTTGCTACCAGATTACTTGGTGTATTTATTTTGTTACGTATTGCCCTTTATTAAGAGTGTGGAGTGTATTTTATACAAAGCCACCATTTGATTTAGCTGGCCAGAACCAATGCAAAATGTAAATATTTTTACAAGGATTTAACCTTCAGTCCCTGTTCACACCTAAAAGGTACGCATGACAAAACCCTGGCGAACGTGATAGTTGAGTGGTTAGGTTGAGATGGGATAGGCTTCCCTGAAGAGATGAGTCTTAAGGGATCGCCTAAAGGCAGTCTGAGTGGGAGACAGACAGACAGGTTGGGGTAGAGAGTTCCAGAGAATGGGAGAGACTTTAGTGAAGTCCTGGAAGCGAGCATGGGAGGAGTTGACGAGGGAGCTGGAAAGCGGAAGGTCTTTTGAAGAGCGGAGGGGATGGTTAGGGTGATACTTTGAGACAAGGTTAGAGATATAGTCGGGGGCAGAGTTGTGGATGGCTTTGTAAGTCATTGTTAATATTTTGAATTTTATCCTTTGGGCCATTGGAAGCCAGTGCAAAGATCGGCAGCGGGGGGTTGTAGACACTGAGCGGTTGGTTAGGTGAGTCTAGCAGCAGCATTCATGATAGACTGAAGGGAGGATAGCCTGTGTAGAGGTAAGCCAATGAGGAGGGAGTTGCAATAGTCAAGACAAGAGGTAACATAGACTTCAATGGAAATGCCTGGAAATGCATGACACAAGCAGTTTGCACATTTCTGTGCATGTTTTTGTGCTCGTTTGTCCATTCACCGCAGTGTATTTCAATCTTCTCACTTAAATGCGCGTCTTCTTGTGAGTGCGTCTGACGCCTAGGTATTAGCAGAGCCTTAAAGAAATTCATTGAGCGTTTTTGTACCTAAAATACCCAAATGACAACCTTATCCTTTCAGATTAAGAACTGTAACTATTGAAGGCATTCCTGTGTTCCTGGATCAAGGGGAGAAATGTAAATGTAATGCTTTGTATTTGGCAATCCTTCTTTCACAGAAGGTCATATAATGGTCTGCACCAGGATGAATATGGCTGAGTTCCCATGATTGAATCGAAGCATTCAATGGTCTACTCCATGTAAGCTGTGCTGTCGGTCAGAAGACTGTGCGGTTGTTAGGGCGAAGTCAACAGCTCTCCCCATATGGCTAGGCATTCTTTGAGCCTCCGCTCATTACCATGCAATGCTTCCAGATCCTTAGCCCTTTGTTAGGACAGTGTTTACTAGTTTACGACTGATAATATCTGTCAGCACCATACAGACTGGGTTAATTAGTTTAAAGATTAACCCCTGCTTTCATTTAATAGAAAAAATCAGTTTAGCAAGTAATATATAAGCAGCATTTTTTAAAATATTTTTTTTGTTATAGTAATGGGAACATGTAACAAATATAAAAAAGGTGTTGTCCGAATTAGGCTGCGAAGCGGAAATGCGCTTTAACTAACTATAATGAGAACTATCACTGGCAATGCAAGTGTAAAATTACCATTGTCCTGGCAAAGAATGCTTACTATATTGATAGTTGGGGCAAACAATATGTTTGTGTTATTATTCGAGAATTGAGCCTTAACATGAAGCTGTGCTTTGGGCACGCTAAGCAAATCAAGGTTTCTTCTTAAGTGAGAACAGTGTTATCCACTGAGAATGAGGTGTAGAAGCCTTAAACTCCAAGTTGATTCTTGTTTCAGCATAGGGCTGAGGACTGTCTTTCCACCCACATGTGATGGCACTTGCAAGCATCGGCACTGTCACATGGAAGGGCAGTGGATAACGTTCTACCAACACGTGGAAGTACTAGGTATATCTTTTTGTTCCTGGAGTCGAACCAAGCAGTGGGGTGGGGCTAGGGGATGGCAGGTGCTTTGAAGGGAAGGTAAATAGTAAATATAAGCAGCTGCAAGATCCAGCATTAAAGTAAACCTGTTAATTGCCCTGGATTGGCCAGATATTGCTGTTTATGAATAAGGTTTGCCAAGAGACATCATTAGATGGTCAGATCGTGCTTGTGGGCATATGGTACATTACTAGTACTGTCACATTTACTTTAAAGTGGATATGGCATGAAAACCCTAATCTAGAAAACCCAAAACATTAGAGGATATATGAGAACAAAATACTTATCATGAATCCTGGCTTTTGGCTGTTAAACATAGGTGCCAGTGGCATTGCTAAAGCTGGGTATACATGCTTTGAATTCTGAAGTGTGAGTGCCGACTGGCGGCACCTTTCCAACTGGCATCCCTCAATCAGCTGATTGAAGGAGCATATAGGAAAATTCTCAGCTAAACAGAGCGAGCAGCCAATAAGCTTTTTGCTGACAGCGGCCGGTGTAATACAGTGTAAACAGCAAGAAATTCCTTGATCAAAGCTCTTAAGCATTAATAGAGGAATCTGTTCTATTATCTTCGTTTAGCCTGCAGGTTGAACAAAGAAAATAAAAAGTTGTATACCCAACCAATGTCTCCTGTGAAAGCCAAGTACTCCGAATCCCAGGAGACGAAGCTACAAAACTCTGCAGGAGCAAACTTTCCCAGGATTTGGAATACTCTGCTGTCCCTGGAGGCATTACTATGGCTCGGTGACATCACTGACTCCTGCAGGAAACGGCTGCAAGCTAGGACCCAAGGTAAGTATTTTGTCCCCCTTTCTTCTGCTTTTTAGCTTTTTAGTTAGTGTTTTTTTATTTTGGCGGTGAAGGCCTTTTAGAAAAGCGGACTATGCATGAAAATGTAAGGTTAATTTTAAGGGTAATGAAATCCATAAAGTAGGTGCATCACAAGAGAGTATTTGTGATGAGAGTCAGAGGTCCTCATAAGCAAAGTTAAAGCTCTGAGTCATTACCAGATTCAATGTTAAGGGGGGCATAGGAGTCTAGCATTATGATTCGCTGTCTGAGAACCAGAGTTTTGAATTGTATTCTGTTGAATGCTTTTATATACTTCCACAGTCTTTCCATCAGTGAGAAATTGTACCAATCTCATTTCTTAGCCATGTCTTGTGTATTGTTCCTGTAAAATGTTTGGGAAATAGCAGTTTTGAAATGATTTACTGTGTAACTCTTTCCTTTTAGGAAATGTGCTTCTTTTCCAACATGATGATGAAATGCAGTTTGTTTAGGAGGGACAGCAATGACTGGATGAGATCATATGCTTAAATTCTGTTATAGGAGTTCAAATTTTTTTTTTTGTAGTGTAACCACTTCAGCGCCAATTCTTGTGCAAGATAGTCATTTGAAATTTAGATTTTTTTTTGTGATAAACAGGGCTTTCGAATTTCTGTTTGCATTCAGTTGCTTATTTAAAGGAGAACTATGAGGTGAGTGATTTTCACTCAACCTCATAGTTCGAGCCGACGTGTGACAATGAAACTGTCAAAGGTCGGCTCAATAGATCGGGAAGTGAGGGAACACATACTGTTGCTCGCCACACTTCTCGATCCTGTCCCTGCAGAGAGCCGTGGCTGTCACTCACGGCTCCCTGCAGGGATTCCCCCCTCTGATCCTCCAGCACTGACTGAAGGAAGAAACGGGGGAGGGGGTGGGTACAGCTGGCTCTGCCTCTAGATGGACAGAGCCAGCTGTTAATAACGCAGCTGGGTGGATCTCGACAGTAATGTCGGAATCCGTCCCGGCTGTGGTGGTAGCTCGCGGTATACTGAGCTTTGGGTCACGCGAAGGCGCTAGTTTATGACCTCCCGTGATCCTGAGGAGAACTAAAGGGAAAAACACTTACCCCATAGTTCTCCTTTAAGGAAAAAAACAGAAAAAAAACTGTAAACATTGGGGGACATTTATCAAATCAGTTACATGAAAAATCAATGCTAAACAGGAGAGTTGTGAGACAGATTTATTACAAGGTTACAGTATGAGTCATAAATTCCTTTCTCACCTGCTCTAAGGTAGCCCTGCCACAGAAGAAACCCTGACCACTTCTTAATTACTGTATGTAACTGTTTAAAGTGAAAAATCTGCTCCGTGTTTAGTAATAAATCTGTCTCAGATCTTTTGCAAAATGTCACACTTGGCTGCCCAGAATTCAGAGGCACAGATCTGTATGATCGATACAAATATGGTGAAGGTTTGGTGAATGTCACGTTCACTGCTTTATCAAAATGCCTCATACAGTGTTTGTTTTTCTTTCTTGTAATCCTGACAGTGCCTTTTGTATAAGACTTTCATTTTGATGGTCTCTTTCTAGCACTAAGATTTCACCACCATTTTCTTCCTTCTCAGCATTCTATACAGCATCTATTCTGGTATGTAATCTGCATTTCAAATATGAAAACTAATAACAGAGATTGAATACACAAAGTACATTTTTGTGCTGTTTTCATGGGTATAGTCCTAAACAGATTGTCCTTTTTAAATCAGAAAATAAGAAATACTTTTACAAATTTGTTTTCTTTATAAAGTCTACTTGTCCATTAAATTTGTCTTTGTGCACACACATGTGAATGACTTGATACAGAATACACACATTGCGGTTGCTTTGAATGCCTGTGGCATAGTTTCCAAACAAGGCCCAAAGAGGGGAATTTTATGTAATGTTAGAATGTTGTCCAGCTGTAATTTTTCAGCCTGTGTTAATCCACATTAGTTAAAAGACATTGGATCCACGCTGTGAAAGCTGCTTATAATTGCGCACAAGGTACAAAATCTTGGCGTAGGTTTATAAAAGCTGAAATGCCAATGCATTCCAACCTTCATATCAACTAGAAGCTATTGTCAATGAGCAGTGCGTCCATTAGTTATGTTTATTCTGAGCCTCAATGACAACTCCTAATAAAGTTTTTCTTTTTTTAGAAGAGGAACGTCGAGTCAAAGCTAACGACCGTGACTACAATGAAAAGTTTAATTATGCAGTAAGTATTCTTTACTGACCATATGTTTGCCTGATATATTTTGTAAACAGAGCTAACATGGTAATAATGAAATACGTAGCATAGTCGGTTACTGTTACAAAACGACATGCTTGCAAGCTGGTGTGTAATTTCTGTGTGCTTGGATTGATGTCCATTACAGTAGCAGGCCAGGCCTATGGAACGGGGCACTGCAGACATCATTGACACTGGCTTAGAGGAAAACTGACAGGGGTCAGACTGGGTTTTTGAAGCTGTACAGTTGCTGCGTCCTGATGAGCCTCTATACTCTTAGTGAATGTTGTCTGCGGGTGGTTCGTAGTCATGTAATTGCCCCTTTTCCCAGGGCATACCTGTAATTTGTCTTCAGGCTCTCTTCAGACGTCTGAGAGAAGCAGTGATCCAATTACACAAGATGGAAATAAGATTCTTGGGGACATCTGTATACAAATGGTTGCACCCAGTTTGCAAGGAAGCAAAGTTGTTTGTTTTTGCATGTTTTAACGTTATAGCTGGCTATACATTAGGTAAATGGGAAAGTTATATTAATAACATTAAGTTAGCAAAAATATTTTCTTTATTACATTATTAATGTGGAATTTTTCTAAGGGTCATTCATCACTCAATTTTTTTTTTCTTTTTGTTTTCTTTATTGGACTTCATACACTGAAATGCCAATTTCTGTTTAATTGTGCTTTGGTCTCCAGGAATCTTAGTAGGAATCAGGGCTCATGTGCTCATATAGAGCTCAGTATTAATGAGAATTAGTACCATTTCATAATGCCGGGATCCATGTTTTAAATCCCACTCAGACTCTGTTTACCAGTCTCCTCTCTAAAATGCCAGTCTTGGTGGTCCCATGGCTCTCATAACTACAGACCACTTCTCAGTAATCCCATAATGAATAATAACTCTGAGCATGGAAGAGGTGTACTTTCACAGTGGGCACAGTTTTATTATGTCAATACCAGCAGCACCTTATGCCTGCTCAGCCTCTGCCGCACTTTATATTATACCATTTTTTTGTGGGGGGTTTTTGTATGCTACAGTTAATTCACAACATTAACATGAGTTTTTAAAATATCACTACCTTCTGGCTGGTAGGGTTTTATGTGATATAAAACAGACGAGAAAATGCAGCCATTTCAAGTTAAGATACACCACCAACTTTATAGAAATAGAGAATCGCAGTGGTAAAATAACTACATACCTTCTTGCTAAGAAGCGCTTACCTGACTTCGCTGACCAATGAGTGCTTGCAAGTTGAAGCAAATTTCAAAATCCATAGCGCAGGACTGCTCTGGACGGCAGTACGGGGTTCAGATAGCACACCTGTGGCGGTGAAGGGGAAGGACCTTCGCCGAAAGGTAAGTATGGGGGGTTGGTGGAGTGGGAAATTGAGCTTATACTTTAAAGACTGGAACATAGGTTTTCATTGCTGTCCAATTGGGGAGATTGTTCTCTTAATATTTCTTAAGGCTGTTATGTCCATTGCAATTGAGGGAGACACAACATTTTACAGTTGTTAACAGCACAGAGGTGATATCTTCCAATGGTGCCTATTCCAAATTTGGTGACAGCTGCCAAAGTTGGGATTTCTTTCACTTTGAGGCCATAGAAGTGAAGTTGAAAGAATTCTCCCCAGTCTGTGAAAAAAGCAATAGGTTTTGTCTGGAATTCTTCTTTAATGATGGTGACTGCATAAGCATTAAATTGAGCTATAGCGCATAATCTCTTGAGACTAGGTCCTGTAATGCTGGGAACTGTTGGCTGTTGCCAGGTCATTCAATAATTAAATTCACTTGAGCATTTACTGTAGATGTGTATCCTTATGATTCTCTGTCATATACAGCTGGTAGTACTTTTCTCTGGAGCCATGTATTATAAACCAAATGGTTATTAATAATACATTTTCAGTGTTCTGTGCAATTACATTTTGAAATTCTCTGTGATACTGTTCAGTATTCACAGGTGTACTGAGCCATGTTCATTATATGCAGATGTACATGAGCTCAGATCACAACCTACAGATAAAACAAGAATTAGAATTATGGCATTTTAGTAAAACATCAACCACAACTTTTTTTAGTAGTTTTAGTGTGCCGAAGGGTTTGATCCCCTGTCAGGTTTTTATTGTATGTCTGTGGCCTGTCATTGTATTGTACAGCGCAGCAGATCGCAGATGTCTCACAGAAGAATTCATAAGACTAATTGGTCCCATTCACAAGTGTATATGGAGCCTAAAAAAGGAAACAATTGTTTCATTGCACTAATGCTTCATGAATAATTGCACAAGCCACCAATAAGATTGTAGTGGGTAATAGGCTTCTGCAATTTCCTCAACAATTGGCAAATCGTATTGTCTTCTTTAAAATCTGCTGATTTAATGGGAAGCCAAAGATAGTGAAATACTTTCTGGGCTTGTTCCCACCATGTCTCGACCAGATCCTTACCAGAACAGTTTTTGTCCGCACCTGAAATGCATTCCAATGTATTCCTGTGGTATTTCTGGGCTCTGCTCAAACCAGTGCAGTCCGTCCCGCTGTGGGGAAAAACAATGCTTCATGCACTATTTCTTCTGGTCTGGAATGCACCAATATGCATGTAAACGCATCAAGAACGCACTGGACTGCACCTGAAAGCCCATTTTAAGCGTAAAAAAACTGTACGGGAACGTGTCATAAATGCATTGCACTGCGTTTCCAGATCTGGTGTAAACAAGCCCTCTAAGTAAGGTATTTACTTTTTTAAATGTACATGTCTGGATACCTTTACATACCTCTGGCTCCAGATTGTAAAACATGCTTATTACTCCTCTGGCAGTTACTTTCTCTTGTAGTATCTTTTTTACCTTACTAACTCAACTGCTTTCTGTCTACCGGGCGTTAAAAAATGGCCAGACGGGAGCCTTCTAGGTGCGGGTGGGCGTCTTAAAACGTCCTTCCCTGCCCCCC